TTTCCTCCTTAAATCTTTAATTTCAAAACTAGAAATAAAGGGTACATGGGACATAAAGAAGTATACAGAACTCTGATTCGTGCAAAATCACATAAACATACACTGAACAAAATTATAAATGCAACACTTTTGATTTTGCCCCCATTCATGATGAGCTGAACTCAAAGATCTAAGACTTTCTCTATGTAGACAAAAGGCCTATTTCTCTCAAATATTGTTCACAAATCTGTCAAAATCTGTAAGGCACACCTGTGCAATACCCATGCTGTCTGATCAGCATCTTGATATGTCACACCTGTGAGGTGGATGGATTATCTCGGCAAAGAAGTGCTCACTAGAAATACGCCTTTTGTGTACATAGAGAAAGTCTTAGATCTTTGAGTTCAGCTCATGATGAATAGGGGCGTGTTGCGTTTATAATTTTGTTCAGTGTATTTTGCAAACATGTCATTTGTAATATGATTATAACGGTTAGTTTGCTTTCCATGTAGAGTGAACTACATGTCTGTGTGTTGTTTATATGCTCTGATAGTGCTAGTCCAACAGCAGCGTCCATGTTGATTCCACATTCCAAATTAAGAGCACATGAACACACACAGGAATCAGAAGAACGACTTCACGACTCAGAAAATGGGACCATCTGAGGTGCATGTGAATGTACCGTGAGCTGCTGGTTGCATTTCTCAACCCTCACCACTAGATGCCACTAAAACTTACACTCTAGGGATGGCAACATCCATTGTCGGGCTGGATGTTTTTGGTGTAAAACAAGATTTTCGACAATTTCATTGGACTGGAGATGGATAACATTTTTGACAGTGTCTCTGATGAACCGGAGCCTGGACTGAAATGGACTGATGTTGCCCAGAAAGGAATGGTTTTAAATTCTGGCTGAAACAAAAACTGTGCTTGTTTACTGGTGTGTAGGACCAAAAACTATTGTCAAGTGAAAAGGAACCAGAAATCCCACACACTGTTAGCCACTTCAAAACCATGGTCAGAAGTCATTTGACAGGTAAGATGATGAACGATAAAGACAATTTCTTAGCAGAAGAGAAAACAGAGAAATATCAGACTGGTTCAGGTAAAGTGGGACAACGCAGTGTCAGCTTTCTGAGTTGTAAGCAGAGAAAAAGGTATAAATAATAGAGCGGGAGCATATCTAAAGCTTTCTACCTGATTGGCCTTTGGCTAAGCTTAATGTACAACAGCAAAATATTTCTGCTGGTTTTGGCATTTACCTTCTCCGTGTCAAATGAATCTTATTTCCTGCTCAGTAAAATAAATTGGATAACAAAGAATCAATCCTATTGAGCAGAGCTAAGCTTTCTTTAGCTCTATTGGAGACGGGATTCTCTCACTTGATGCAGGATTGACTGCGGCAGTGAACGGTAGCTGGAGGGCCGTGCTGACATAAGCACACAGATCCAAAGTTTGTCCTTGTTAGTGTGATTCAGCCTGTCTGTGGGTTCTAGAGAGCCGGGCTGTGAAGTGTGGAGCCAAATTTGGCTGCTCTCGCCTCCATCACTAAATCATCTGTATCACTGTTTTACTCTTACTGGTTCTTGCTGCCGCTTTGAAACCAAGACTCATGTTCTCAAAACAAAGATGGTCCCTGGAGATCTACGGTCTAAGATCTCTGTCTAGTTGAAAATGGAAGCACAAGTATGTTACACAATACAAACACACGATCAGCGTTTAACGAATGAGTAAGGAAATGTATAAAATAAACACATTAAAAAACAAGTAATAATAAATTCTCTCTGCAAAACTGTTTTGAAAGCAGGGCCAAATTAACATAATTTCCACCGTCTCCTGATTTCTTTCTAAAGTCTCTTTTGTGGTGAAGTGATCAAATTTGCCTGCATCTTTTCAGTAAGTCAACAAAGCATGTTATGCAACATTGATTGACAGCACAACTGTTACTTTGAAATTGCCAGTAAACTATATTTTGCACATAAACATTTTCAAAACAGGCTGGGATTCTGTATTTCACTTACAAATAAACAATATTCCTGTCATGGTGGAAATAGTCTCTGAACAGCTTTTGGATCTAACAGAAAACGCATTGAGACAAACTGGATTATTAGTTAGTTAGTCACAAAAATTTTTATTTATAAATTCTAAAAATATCACTGTGTGTGCTTCATCATTAATGACTAAGAATTAGTTGTTGTTCGTTGCTGTTGCAAACAATCTGTCAATCGGTCTTGTGTTCAAAACGTTGATGCTTAATGTGCTTTAATTGCTTATCAAGTTTTATAGACACTTCACGCAGCTATGATCAGACAGAAACCTCAAACCTAATGGAATATGACTAAATCCAATTTCCAAAATATTTAATCTAATATACAGCATTACACAATTTAATGCCCTGATATGATTTCCCTTACAGGATCTCCCTCCTCCACAGTGAAAACAGTAATGAGGGTGAACACGGCCTCTACTATACCTTAACAGTATCTATCTGGTTCTTCCATGTAGTGGTTGAGAAAGGCCTTACAGTGGCTTCCTTAATATGCTCATAGCAGGGTGAACGGGCCCCATGAAGGAACAAGACTGAATTCAGGTTTTGCTGCAGAGTTCTGATACTTTAGCAGTACCTGACGAGATTAAATACAAGTACAAGGTAGGTTTGTTTGTGAAATTACAACAGGTTGTAAAGGTTGTAACTACAACATACAGTAATACAAAAGCAATCATAGAAATGGTAAACAGAAATAAACTATATTCAGTGGAGCAGTGGTGAGGATGAATTTGAGTTTAAAAGTCTGATAGCTTGGGGGGAAAAAGCTGCTTTGCAGTCTCGTGGTGCGACACTACAGGTGTCCACATCAGTTTTTGTTTTATTGCTGCTGCAGTCATCAGAAGCATTTTATTATTTTACTAGACAAAAACTGGACTTCATTTAATTGATATTTTAAATAAACATGGCAGGTTTGACTATTCTCCATCACGCATATTTAATCAAATCACAATTAAGCTGCATTTTACTTCATTGTATTTCTTTTCTTTTGTAATTTAAATGCTGCATATGAGTAACACTGAAATGTAGTGTTGTCTGATAGGACGCCCTGTAATGATGGTCTGACCTGTGTCTTATTCTACTGACTCGAAACAACAGCTTTGCACCAGCAGATAAATAATCCTTTCATTTTACATTCAATCTACTCCAATTTCAAAAGGCGAGTGGGAGTCATTTCCTGAGATGAGGGCAAACATTATTTTTTGAATACGACCGGAAAAGAACATTTACATCAACAGAGCAGTGTTAGGCTAATGGATACATAATTCTAATAGCTTAATATGATTTCAGCATATGCGAGGCTCTCTGAGGAATGACTTTCCAATGTGGCCAGATAATTACAAAAACCATGAAGTCACACATTAACTTTGCATGGATTTTGCTCAGTGGCTTTTTTTTTTTTTAACCACTTAAAAGTTTTAAATTTTATTTCAAGTAAAAACTCCTAAAACAAAGACGACAGAGTCTTTATCAAAAATAAATCAGATATTTTCCAGCTTCAATTCATACATCAATCTTCAATCTTTTAGACTAATCAAATAGCGTTCCTGACTTAATGAAAACTATATAAATAAAAAGCTGTCAATCATGATGACATGCAGCCTGGCAAATTTAAATGTTCATCGATGAGAGCTTGAAAAGAAAAAAACAGTTTGATTTTTTTTTTTTTTTAAGCTTTCATCTGAGGCACAACTAATTAATACCAAACACTTCATCATCATCAAGTACTTTCAAATTAAACACTTCCAATATTGACTTAAGTTACTATTCTCTGAAGAAAAAAAAGACACCAGAACTTCTTTTTAGTCACTTAATGAGCATAGCGATCAATTTGTTCCTAGTGATGGATATCTCATTTTAGAATAAGACTCTATTCAATTATTCAGTGAAGAGATAATGAGCAGACATCCCACACAAGGCTACGAAAACAGTTCGCACAAGCGTGGCAGTCATCGGCATACAAGCGCTAATTAAACAGCATTACCCAAGTGGTGCAGAAAATTGCTGGGAAACATGTGGAGGAGTTCAAAAAGTTTTTTGAAGGGAAAATAAGCAGCAGTGTCGGATACAACCCGCCTGAGGAGTTCAGTGAAAAAGGTCTAGTAGTAGCTGGATAAACCTCTGGCTTATTGATCCTGAGACTAGGACTTGAAAGGAGCACTGCAGCATGTGTGGTTATTTTAATACACAGCAGTGAGCAGGGAAGTAAGCAAACCATTCAGATTCAAGTGCTGCAACTGAGTAAGAGACATATACTGCAGTGCTGAAACAATTAGAGAAAACTGACAACTCGTATAAAGTCATACGAACATGTTAAACATTCACAGGATAGAGCTGGCGAGCTAGCTCAAATGTGATGTTTGGCTGATTTTGTCTGTTTTATATTATTTTATATGGAATATCTTAAGACGTTTGACTGTTTGTGTAACTAAATAAGCAATTTTAGGAGGCCTCTTCATCTATACTGGGCGATATTGATCAATGCAAATGTGCCAGATTTAGCCTTAAAGATCTTTCACTCTAAAGGAAGGGGAACTGGCATGGTCAACTTGTGATGGGCCTTTTTTATGATTAACCAAAAAGAAATAAAAATCCCAGATGACTCAATCAAAAGGCTACAACCAATAATTACTTTCTCTATTGATTAATCTGCCATTTACGCAAATATATTAAATATTTACAGTGATATAAAACACAAAGGGGCAATGTTGATAGATTAATCAATGAATAGAATAATTGTTTTAGCTCTAGTGAATAAGGACTATAATTTGCAACATTCCACCACATGGATCAGGACCAACAGGGCGTGCTGGTCCTGATGCAACACTGGCAGCATGTCATCACATTTTTATACCCATTCTTCAATCCTAATTTCCAGTGGATAAACTGTCAGATTTGTGTCTCATAAGATTTAATATTTTTCTTTTCATTCACACAGTCTCTCTCTCACACACAGAGACAAACCAAAGCCCTTTTTTTTTTTTTTTTTTAATCATAAATCATTGATTTACAAAACTGACAATTGTGTGACATTGACTGGGCTGACTTTGCCACCTGTTGATTTAAAGAAAAAAATACAAGCTCTTATCAGACCACTTAACGTATATGTTTGAGTATATATCTGTGTTTGTGTCAGCGGGAGGATGGTCTATATTTGTGTTTGCCGTTTCTATTTGTGTGCATGTGTCTCTAGACACACAGCCAGTCCAGAGGCAGAGCTGCTGTTAGGCCTTTCTGTAGTGTTGCAGTAAACCATCTGCGGCCTCGGTTGGTTTCCGTGTGTCATTGCCTTGGCAACTCATAAATAGTTTGTCACAGCTACTTGATTTCAAAGCTCCTGGCGATCATCCATCTGTCTGTCCACTTTTGCCACGGCTGTTCAGCATCTCTACGGCGGCTGTTCGCTGCTTTTGTTCTGCCCTTTTGGTGCTTCCTGGTGTGGTTGTCATTGTGATTTGTTGTTTAGCACCCGGACAGTCTTGCGGCCGTAGTGCCAGTAGCTATAGCCCGACGCTGCCGTGGTCATCGCTGTTACATACCTGCAATGTAATACAACACATCACATATACTGTAATTCAAACAACAGATTCATTCGAGCCATCTGATTGGTCAAATTTATTTATTTTAAAAAGCATAGTTTTCCTCATCTTACCAGATAATTATTGTGTTATGTGAGGAATTAATAAATTGTTAAATATAATAATAAATTCTGCAATGAAATTGGGAAAATGTGTGAATTTGCACCCCCCAATGGTAGTGCCAAGAAAAAACATGGCGGGAGAGGCAATGCATGCTATTAAATGAAGAAAAGGGAAATTTTATAATTTAATTTTTTAATTTTATTTCATTTATCCAGCATTAAAGAAAATAAGAAAGTAGTATTTATTGGTACATTTTATGATGAATTTACCTTTTTTTTAAAAACTGAACCATTTAAATAGAAATGTAATTAATACATTTACAAAATGTGTTTTAAAATCAACCACTGAAAAATTATTACAATCAAACATTTGCGCTCCTGTTTTACAAGCAACAGAGATGCCTGTTGTTGTGAAGATTAGTTCTAACAGTGCTGAATTTGTATAAAAATGTAGGTTACTGTGACACAATAAAATATTTGTCCTGAGTAGGATCTCTACTCCAACTCACTAGGAGCTGTGGATTGAAATGAGTCAGTGCACTTAACCCCAATTTATGTGCTTGACTGAGATTAAACCATTTATACTCAAAACCCCTTTGCACAATAAACATTTTCTGTTGTAACCACTCCACTGAAAAGGACATTATGGAAATTAAAGTCAAATGTGTGCGACCTGTGTTTGTATACATGTGATATAGTGTATGGTTTACCATAAGCACTGCAGCGGGACACTGTCTGTATAGTGGAAGACTGGAGCAGCCAGAGAAGCTGCAACCAGAAAGAGCTGGATGGCTGTGTTCAACTGAGGAAAAAAACAAAAGACAACACACACGTCAAAATAAAAACATTATTAAAAAATAAAACAAAAAGGCACACAAACCTTTCACCTGCTTCTCTAACATATAAAGCTTAGCTCATTATTTTTTGGGACAACTTGTTTTTGCGCATGTGACAAGAGTTGTGGCTGGGTCCAAGAACAAAACAACACTTTCTGGCAGCTTAAAAGAAAAACTTCTCCTGCCAGCCACCATTTCTTTCAGCAATGTATTCTATACATAATCAAATGTATTAACATAAATTATGCAGGATTTGTGGTGGAGCCATAAAGGAACATTTTGACGATGAATTTTAATGTGTCAGATTTTGCACAACAGATTTCTGCATTCATGCTACAGAGTTTGGCATTCCAGGTATCGTGGACTCGGGTATTAAAACTTTAAAGGGATGACTTTTATGTCAAGGAGACAGCAATAATCAGTTAGGTGGGAGTGATGAAACTGTAACTTTGGTTTGATTATGACATTGCTCTTTGAAAATTCTGCAATAACGTTGTTTGGATTTTAATTGTAATCTGCTACCTCCATAAACATCAACTCTTCATAAGTAAAAATGACAGTAAAATTTTGTGCAAATAAGGGCTGCAGCTAACGATCATTTTCATTGATTATTTTATCGATTTATGAATTAGTTATATGGTCTATAAAATGTCAGAAATTGGTGTAAAATGTTGATTCACAGTTCCCAAAGCCCAAGATGACATCCTTAAATGTCTTGTTTTGTCCACAACCCAAAGATTTTCAGAATACTGTCATGCGGGACTGCAGAAACCACAAAATATTCACATTTAAGAAGCTGAAATTAGACAATTTCCACTCAAACCGATTAATCGATAATCAATTGTTACAGCTCTAGTGCAGATTCTGTAATGCACTGTGCCAGGTTATCAGTTCCTGCATCTGGTGATTGCACAGGTTGTAAAGAGCCAGAAAATACAATAATAAGATTATCACACACACACTCATTAAATGCTGTGTTTTAAGGCTCATTTATTGCTAACTATCCAGCCCAGTACAGAACACAGTGAGAGTATGTGGGTGGTTTGTGTTAGTGTGGGTCACCTTGCTGAAGAGTGTTGGCTTGAGCTGTGCTGTGGTGTAGCAGGGGTTAAAAAACTTACTAAGAGTCACCTGGAGGAAAAAGAGGGAGAGATTGTAAAAGTAGATTCATTTGGCAGCCACTGTAAGCCAGATTACATTTAAATTACTTTCTACTTCTAGCAGGTCTTGCACCAAATACTGTACATTATATGCTCAGTGTTCAAATGTGCTTGTTTAGAGTGAAATTTAAAGTCTCTCACCGGTGGAGGCACAGTCTTGTATCTGACCCAGAACACAGCAGCTATCAACCCGATGTCTCTAGAAATCACTAGAGCCGTCAGTGGAGCTAAAAACAGAACAAACAACATGATAAATAATCTTGTAACATGGCGTAATCACTGCTGGAACTGTCATGTGAAATACAGTCCAATACCTGGTATAAGCTCAGCATAGGTAAGACTGACATATAAAATACTGATGAGAATCTTATCAGCCAATGGGTCGAGAGCGCTGCCCAGGGCCGACTTTTGAGAGGGCCACGTTCTCGCAATGTAACCATCCAACTGAGTCAAAGAGAAGAGAGTTAGACACATTTTAATAACCAAGCAAATGTAGCAACGTACAAGTTTTCATATCAGGTGAGTGCACTGAAGTTCATGCCAACAATAACCCATCTGAGAGTAATATTTAGTGATAATAAATATGAGTAATAAATGTAATAAAAGTGACTAATAAATCGTGATGCAGAGCTGCAGTGCAAGACAGGTGCAGGCTATGTTTATTTTTAAAGGTCAATGATTTGGTTAGGGGAGAGTAACTAATTTAGTTTAGTGTGCAAGTTTTAGTGGCATCTAGTGGTGAGGGTTGCGAATTGCAACCAGCAGCTCATGGTGCATTCACATACTCCTCAGATGGTCATATTTCCGGAGTTCTGAAGTTGTTCTTCTGACTTTAGTGTGCGTTTATGTGCTCAACATGGATGCTGCTACAAAGATGTGTTGGATTAGCATTTTCAGAGCATATATACAATGCATGCAGACATTTTGTTTAATTTACATGGGAAGCAAACTAACCTTTATAACCATATTACAAATCACGTTTGTAAAATATGTACATGCAATACGAGATTTTGCACGAATCAAAGTACAGTATCTATCTTTATGCCCCCTATACAGTTCATTTCTCCTATTGCAATAAAGATTTAAGATTAATTATTCAAACACCTCATGAATGCAACGCTCAACCTTCCCTTTCCAAGCGCGCAAGGGAATCTACGGTGGCCGACACACTCTGTCAGCTCTTGTGCTAAATTGTACATGTGGTCCTCTAGCAGCCTCCGATGCTGGTAAGCAGCGCACTGGCTGTAACCAGGCTGTAAACGCTGTTTCACAGATATTTCCTGAGCTGACTGGTGGCTGTGTGTACTTTGGCTTGCGATATCGATCGCCACAATACGCTTACCTTACTACACCTGTCTTTCTGTTGTGAATTTTTCCTGTCCGTCAAAGCCGCGGGAGGAGGGTGCTACTTGCATTCCCTGTGCGACACTAAAGTTTCTTTAGTGTCAGCTTCTGTCAAGCTTAAGGCTATTGTACAACAACAAGTCAATACAGCGTAATGTGTATCAGTTGATGATTCCTCTGCAGACTGGCTTACTCTCGCGTGTCCTGTGACCAGAGCGTTATCGCAGCCTTTGCGATTAGAAAATCTCGTTTTATCATATCGCGATAATGTTGCAAATGCAATTAATCGTTCAGTCCCAGTATGTTGATAGAAATGGCTCATTGTAAGGTAATAAAAACATAACAGTTCATAATGTAATGTCTTTATACACCACCGAAAACATAATTATGTATATTAAAAGGCTGTCCCCCACTAAGGATTTACATAGTCAAATCAGAATCGTCAAGTCCTGCCTATAGTCGACTGATAGTCGAACCATGTGTGTTTCTTGTGCACGGCCATTGCGAGCCGAAGCTAAACTGAGGCTTATTGTTGACCATTCTCTCTCTTTCTCTCTCCATCGCCTGCCATTCACCGGTCTTGTGCAGAGTTTTTTTGCAGGCTCCGCCCATCAAAGCATCAGATCTTCGACTATTTGGGGTCAGCCCTAGTATTTATATTGCATTTCTGTCAATAGATCCTCCTAAATATTATACACTAAACCTTTAAAAGTTGTCGCTTTCACCTCAATTGACTGAAACCCTGTAGCCCTGTGAGTTAGGGCATTTTCAGTGGTGTAGCTGGGACACCGGACCGCTTGTGATCATTTAAACAGATCATATGATTGTGATCTTTATAACAGCTTCAGTAGTATCTGCAGCTTTGAGACACAGCTCTGCTCGCTCACCAGAGCAGCTCCAGTCTTTTGCCCATCTGTGGCACAGTAGCCTTCAGTCTTAATAAGTTATTACTTGTGACGTGTAGCTAAACAGATTTCAGGACGCTGAGTGTGACTACAGACAGGAAGAGGCGGCTATCCGAGCCAAAATCGTTACCCTAATTTTTATTTTGGTGATCCGAAAAATTTTCAGATCCGTGAACCAAAACCACGGTATGATCCGAACCTTGGGTTTTGTAATCATCCCTAGTAATATTGGCCTGGAGTCAAGCCCACCTCATGCTGGGTGTTTGCTAGATGTCAGAATTGGACATCCGCAGTTATAATAGAGCGGTTTCCTGCTTGCAATGAGAAGGTAGGCCCTTCTTAATCGCCACTCTGATCTACTAACCATGTATGCGATTATCCTGATCATTATCAAACATGTTTAATGACCATCATTTTGTAGGCTGTCTGGCAACATGGCTGGCTGAGTGAGCCGATTTGTCACTCTGAGTCATGTCAAGACAGAAATCAAACTAGTCTTTTGACTCTAACTCAACTCAATTTCAGAGGGTTTGAGACAGATCAGTACAGGAGTCCTAGTTTTTAAAACAATAACTGTCTTAATGTGGCTACTAGGGATGTCACGATACCAGAAATTTACAAACTCACATTTGTGAAATGTTTATGAGTGATCACTATCTATATTGGCAGTTGTCTGAGATTTTTATATTTAAAAACAAAAATGTGATGATTGAAATGGATGGTATTGCACTTTTGAGACAGTCCCTAACTCTGCCCATAGTTTCAGGTGCGCTGGACAGACATTCAGTCAAAACCATTGCAAATGTTTACACATTTGCAATTATTCGTAGATGAAAATGGACTGAATTTAGCACTGCGTTGTAGCTCCATACTGGAAAAACTGCAACTAGTGTTTTAGTGCATTACCAGGTCAGTAGCTCCGGCCAGTGCGAACAGAGCGAGACTGAGGTTAAAGTGCTGCTGGATGATCAGATGTCCCAGAAACGGAGCCAGCACAATCCGACACACACACAAAAAGTTGGGGATTGTCCACGGGTTCTCATACTACAGAAAAATAAATCAGAAACATGCGTTACTCCATAGATCAACAGTGAGATAGATAAATCAGAGACATGTAATAAGTGCCAACGTGGTTCCAACAGGTAAACCAGCCTAAACCTATTCCAGAAACATTTCTAAGCTCAGTATGTGTCAGACACATCAACCTACTTTTCATGAGTGGGTTCTGATTCGATTCTTTATTTTTTATTTAAGAGGAGGCACACAGTTTTTTCACCAACTATTAAGATTAATGAAGAACTCATAATAACCACGTTTAGAACCACCAGCGTATAATAAGATTTTAAAGAATTGTTAAAGATATCTACTGAAGAGACAGTACAGTTGAAAAATAACCTCATCCGTTTCTAAATTCCCTGTAACATACGTTTCACTTATCGGTACTGCAGTTTCACGAGCAAATATACCGACTAAAATGTCAGATCATTACAGTTCTATTGTCCTACTTTACTTGAGTCGATCCATTTCATACTTCTTTATACTTCAACTTCACAACATTTAAGAATGAAATGTTATTCTTTCTTTTCACAGCTACTTTTTCCCTGCACCAGACTTAATGTACAAATACAGTGTTAGATAAATCTGTCAGTTTTAACAATCCAATAAAGTGCTGTAATATTTAATTATATCCCAATGAGAGAACAGTCTGCTGCAAAATGAGTATCTTCACTTTTAAAACTTGATCATTATGATAACATTTTGATACTTTTACTTAAAACATGTAAAGTTACAAGAGTTTGTTTTAATGGTTGTTAAGGATCTGAAGAAGTCTATCACTGATCTGAACACAGGTCTAACAGGTTGCTTTACCCCCATCTTCTCCTTCACATTCCTGCACGTGCCTGTCCCACAGTGAGGCAGATCTGTACTCACCAGCTCTTTGAACTTGAATAAACCGTGTTCCGGTACCGGACTGGCTTCATTCCCGTCCGCCACAGGGGACCTTTCCGGTGTCTCCTCGGTCTTTCCGCTGCAAAACCCACGGGCTTTGGAGGACAACAGACAACTGACCGCCGACCTCTCGTGACCTCGAAGCACGGCTTCTTGCGCGTGCCAAGGTGTCCCTTTTACCTGCTGGAGGATCCCGGTGCAGCACGCGACGCGGTTGTCAGTCCCCTTGAGAGTGAAGAACCGCGAGCCGCTAACCAGGGACTGTTTCAACCTCGCGCAGTCAGTAATAGGTGCGTGTCTGCACCGCCGCCATGACGCAGACTCGAACCAACACACGCCCGCACGCGTCGCGGGCACCGGGCCGCGGACGTTTGCTGCGTTGCGGCACAACGGAGCGGAAGTCCTCCGTAAACACAACATCATCATCTTCACCAGCCCTCCGGTACCGACCTGTCCGTCATCGTTTCCATTATAAATGCTCAGATTCTGACCATCAGAACCGACGGACTGCCAGCTCAAGCCAGCAGGCTGCCATGTTGCCGTAAACTGATCCAGCGTACGGCGTCGTAAAATCCCCGGTAAGACTTTCCTTACCAAGGCTTTTATTTTGAAAGTTTTACACCATAATCATAACTTTATAGAGTTAAGCTATTAATTAAAAAGTAACTATTTTAAACAAATTAATATTATTTTTAAAGTATTATCAAACCCCGTTTTGTAGTGTAATAGTGTAAAAAACTAGAAAATGCAGAGATTTACAGGAAAATAATTATTTATTAACTGAATGTTCCTAATAAAGTGCCTACCATACAAAGAGAAACCAGAAACATTACACAATACAGAACATTTGAGAAAGAATTGAGAACCAAATACTGTACACTTGATTTTAGATAAACATACTACACAACCAATACGGGATCATTCAGGCCAACGCCCAAAAATTTGATAATACACTGGCAACACCCCATCAGTACAAGTCTGCATTATGGTTAGGGAAAGTAATATCGGTGCTGTATCAACAGATTAATCCTAAACAAGCTTCCTGCTTCAGCCATTGCTGATTTTAAATTGGCTGCAATTTTTTTAATGATACTTATATGATGGCATTAAAAAAAAAGTTCTGTATTTGTTCAGTATTTGAGTTGGATCAGAGAACCTCAGTAGATGAATGTTCATTGTGTTATATAGCAACATGGTGCCACTGCATCACTGTTCCAATGACATTTAACTTTACCAATCTGCTAAACACTGTGCATTTATACATAAATACATACATGTTATTTCATGTACATAAAAATAACAGTGACATTTAATATATAGTCAAATTTAACTGTATTCAAAAAAGTCCCCCGTGTGGAAAACAAACCGTATAAAACAACTGACGGTGAGACAGTATAATCACCTATTAAATATTTACTGAATGTAAAGTATCACCACTTCTATCAGATGTTCAGAACATTGTCAAAGAAATTTGAAAAACAAAATTCAACTACACAACTTTTGTTTTAGGGTAAACTTGTCTAAACCCAGATGTATTATTAAATTCTGAAAAGGTATTAGTCCCACTTAACAGGTGCAGGTACAACTAAATCTCAAGTCAGGCCCATCATGCCAGGAAATCTGAGCTAATTCAGGAAATAGTGGTTTCTGCAAGGTTCCCGCAGAGAGATACCCTTTGTAAGGTTTTAGTAGTTACACAGTCTGATTGTTGGTGGTTTGGTGAAAGTGTTCTGGATAATAGGTTTCCCATAAAGTCTTTTCCTTCTTTTCTATCAAGAGAGACCCTCTTCATTCATCCCGAACACTGACCTTGTAGTGAGGTCTGCAGGAAGGAGCAGGTGTGTTTTCTGATTCTGTTGCAGCTGCCAGTGATCACACTGTCTGCAGCTGGTACAGCTTGGCTCCTTTCTTCAGCAGGAAACCCTGTTCATTCAGGGAACTCACCAGACCTTCAAAATCCATCACCTGGAGGGAATCAACCAATGACTGAATAAACTATCCAGCATGCATGCAATGATAGTTTTTAGAGTAGCATCAGGTTTTACTGCATGTATGTATAGACTCGTGGTTTGGATTACTGGGAACGTTTGTGCTGAAAGGAGACATTTAAACCTACAGAAATCTTTCTATTATGCATCTCTTAATGTAATTCTATGTTTTTCTCATTTCCTGAGGGGTTGGTTTAGTGACTCCTACTGCATTAAGATTATGAGAAGCAGACACCCACATACTTTTCCTCAGGTGGATAAAGTCCTAACTTTTCATTTCATCCATAGCAAGTTGAAAACTAAATTATTTGATAAGCCCTACAGCTGAACTAGGGCCCTTCTTGAGGTCTGCTTTATTTGCCTAGATGACAGTCCCTGTCACAGATTGCTTAAGTATCTAATTTCTCAGAGACGGTGAGTGAAAATGACATGGAGGTGTTTGTGCCTTTCAATTATGTAATTATGTAAATCTGGCCTACTGTCTTAACGTGACTGTTTTTATATAGTGCAGGTGTTTCTCAGTGCATCTGAATTCTTTCACCTTGATGTTCAGTTTGTTGGCCACAGCTCGAAGCGTCTGAAGGTCAAACTGCTTCTGACTGGTCCTCTGAGCATGCAAGTGTAGTGCGTTGACCAGTCGTTTTGCAGCGCTGCGCTGACTCATGCCTGATCCAAGCTGAGAGCGCTCAAAGTCCAGATTGCCCAGACCATCTGAGTATGTATCAGCCAGACTGCAAAACAAAACCACACACACACACACACATACACAGAGAGAGAGAGAAATTTACATCCCAGGACAGTACATTCAATGTGAGGACTGCACACTTAGATGCATTTTCTTACTAGATGTCATCACAGTTATCAGTTATGTAATGGTTGTGTAGGAGTATATTGAGCTAGTATATATTTGTTTTTATACATTTTATCATCTTTTGGAGGACTACACTGAACTTAACAGACACCGTTAGCTGCCAGAGGCGAGAGCAACATGTGGACAAATCCAAGTTTTCTCTGCTTAAATTAACTGTTTGAGGTTACATATATACATCAGAGAACAATTAATGGATTAGTTTATTGACAAAAAAATAATTGGCTAATTGGATAGCTGATTTATTATTTGAGCCACTTCTGATGAGTGGCTGCTTTTCTTTGTCTTATGTGATAGTAAACTGAATATCTTTAAGTTTTGGATTGTTGGTCACATCCCCTTGGACTTTGTGATTTCATTTTTCTTTATTTTCTGACAATTTATAGAGCGAACTATTAATAGATGACTTGAGGAAATAATAATCTGATTTAAATTGACAATTAAAACATTTGTTAGTTTAAGCCCTAATGCACAGAGACTCCTGTAGTGGCACCTGTGTTTCATGATGTCCACCACATCCTCAGCATCACTCTTGGTAGCTGTCTCTCTGAGCTCCAACCTGGCTCTTGCCTGCTCAAAAACAGACAGTCAACCACGTCAGTACTTGGAAACTAGAGGGAAACTCATGAATGTATACCACTACCACCACCACAACTATACCAGCAAAAAAGAAGATGTTATCTAGTTTCTTAACCCATAGTATGTTGCTGATGGATTACACCAAACACACAGAAGCCTACCTCAGTTAGTCTAATCAAAGACTCGAGCTGTCTTGTGGTGATGGGTGTGGAATCAGCAGTGTGTGCCTGAGATCTCAGTGACAGGTAGAAGTCCTGAAGTGTCTGTGCTGCTTCAGGGGAGAGCACCGGATGGACATACTGACGAGCGTAGCTGATATACTTCCTTAATAAACAAGCTGGAATGGGATCTATAGTTTCACCTGCAGGGATCTTGACACAGATACACACATTACATAAATGCAAATGGTTTTTGACTGACATCACTGTACTGGTCGTAGAGTACGGTCTATTTTATTTTACCTGTAAACGTTCAGATAGTGGCATGTCTGAGTGTTCTAGTAGGATGGAGGTCTCTAATTCGATATCAGCCCTGGTAACTATGGCGCTGCTGGTTCTGCCTCTTCCTGCCCTGTTTGCCATAACGTGTTCTGACAGGCGGCGGTCATGTGACTCATCTGGGATGTCCAGAAGGAGGAAGACAACGTCGAATCGAGAGAGAAGAGCTGAGCCCATTCTAAAGACAAGAATGCACTATAAATACTTGTGTAAAACTACAAATAATTTACTGATTCGCTGTTGAGCTAACTTACTTCAGATTTTCAGAAACAGTTTTGCCTCTGTTGTAATGTCCTCCAGTGGGGTTCGCAGCAGCTACAACTGACGTTCTGGCAGGCAGAGAGGAAACTATTCCAGCCTTAGCCAGACTCACAGACTGCTGCTCCATGGCTTCAAGCAAAGCCTGCTGCTGGTGGCCCAACTTATCAAACTCATCAATGCAGCACAGGCCTAAAGACAGCAGACAGGGGAAGAGAATAAAAAAAAGAATGAGGCCAGGAGAAGACGACCATGAGGTGGAGAAAGAAAGAAAAGAGAAACAAGCAGGAGTGACAGATGGAAGGGGGGGTTGAGACGTGTTTTTTGTGCAGTTCTGCAAGCTTGCAGCCCTAACAGGCAGTGAGTGCTAAGTGGAAATCATGGATCTCTAATCCTGTTGATTTCTAAGGTTTCGCTTCAAAGTGTTTTTTTAATTCCTCTGAATTGAGAGGTCTGTCTGACTCTCCACACAAACCTGGACAACCAAGAGGCATGGTATTTTTTTCCCTTTCATTTTCACTGAATATGAAAATTACGATGATGTGATTTTTGCTGGGCTGTTCCCTTACATCTGGAGAGCATGAACTGTAGACCGGGCATCTCTGTAGCACCACAATGCTTCATTTATAATGGTATGTTGTGACATATTTTACCTTTATCAAAGAATTGCAGCCATATATTAAGATGTAGAATATATTTCGATTAACAGTTCAGCCCTAGCGCAAGGTGGTAAAGACTTTCAGCATCTGCACCATAGAGATTTTCGACAGGCAAAATCACCGACTGGTTTGGAAACAGCACTGACTGCCTGTCAGATGTCAACTTCAGACTTAAATGTCAGTTACACCATGAGGTGCAGGACAAGGACCGAGAGGGATATAAAAGATCTCAATTACCCTTAACAACAAACTTTTTTCTCTGCTGCGGTCAGGGAAGGTTTACTGCTGCCTGAAGGTCAAAACAGAGAGTTCACAAAACAGGGTTTCCACTCTCTTTCCTACCTTGGTCAGCCAGCACCAAGGCTCCGGCCTCTAGAGCATAATCCCCTGTCCCTGCGTCCCGGGATAAACTCACCGTCAGTCCTAAAAAAAAAAAAAAACACGTTTATTATGTTGTAACAGGTTTGAATAACTGTCCAGAGTCATCACCACCTGCGTATATAACTTAATTTAGGCAGAGTAATACTTTAAGACTATTTACCCGTGGTGCTGGTGCTATTGCCACAGACATAGATTCCTCTGGGAGCCACATTACACACTGCCTACACACAGAGCACACATGAACATGTAAGTTTCCATTTACACACTGAAACTAAAACAAAATTACATTGTTGATCTCTGCCAGCTGCCGGCTGCTCTGTTCAAAGTGTTTAGTGTGTTTTCTGTGTTACCTGTAACATCTGACTCTTCCCCAGTCCAGGGTCTCCCACCATCAGTATGTGTGGGTCTCCTCTAACTGGGACGCTGTTCTTGTCCATGTGTTTCTGTCTGCCTCCAAACAACACCAACGCCAGACCAGCTTTCACCAGCTGGGGACACACAACAACACAGGATGTTGTGACTGAACTTTTATGATTTTTGACAAATCAAGGGGACAGAAAATGCTGGGGTTTTTTTAGGTGTGAATGACATCGCTGTGATGAAAATGCTCACCAGGTGGCCATAGATGGCGGGACACATTGAGCTGAAGGAGGCGAAAAAAATGACAAACACACTAAACATTTTTTAAACTGTCTCACAATGACTCATGTTATTCAAACTCTGTGTGAGAAAATGCCATAACAGTAAATATGTAATATTGTGTAGGTCATAAATATCTTACTGTACTATGAGTCTCAGTAGGTCAGGCTGTGACTGGATCTCCTGGATGGCATACAGCTCCTTCAGACTGAACTCCTCCCCCCCAGATCGATCTTCAAGCGACCCTCTTGACCCCTGACCTGACTTGGACTGCTGACCTACACATTAACAACAAATAACACCTTATTGCTCTGTTACATTAAAAAATATAACTTTTCTACACAATTTTAGACCAACTTTAAAATGAATAAATAAAAAAACAAAGTTCAGTACCTTTAGTATTACTGACTGAAATGGCTTCAAGGTAGAGGAGGAACATACACTGATCCTTGTTCCCCCGCGAAGTCCCTGCATACAAATAATAAGTGTGAGTTTTGTGTGCTCTTTGTTTGTGGCCCCTGTGACATTGAATGTGAAGGCAGGAGAGCACTTCTTAATTCATTTCCTCTTACCAGACATTTGTACTTAAATATGGGTTTATAGTTTATACTGTATAGATAACAATATAGTTAATAAATCTTCACATATTGGTTAACTACCAGTAAAAGGCAAACGCTTTCCCCAAACTTCCTCCCGCCCTGGTTAAAAAATGTGTGTGTTTCAGTGTGTTTGTACCATCGTTGGTAACTCTAACAATCCCTGTCACTGTAACTGTGTCTCCAGGGACGCAGCTGTCACAGAGGTCAGAGGTCAGTTGACACTCCACTGTACGCGGGATTCGTCCAGTCTCCCTCTGTTCTCCGCCCATCAACTCCTGCACCCTGAAGAAGCACAAAAAAATCGTTTTAAACCAAGTATGGAAATGATGACTCAGCTCTGCATTTTTGCATTTGAATACATTCTGAAAAAAGCTGTGACTTTCCCAGAATAATCCACTTTTTAGTCGAGATAATCTGTCAGCATTTTGTGCCACTGCTGATAAAAGATATTTTGCATAATAATCAGAGGCAATAACTGCCACAGTGAAACAGGATTAATTTCTAACCAAACCCATGTAACTCAGCCAGTGTCCTCCCTACTCAAACTTTCTAAGCACAGCTTATAATGACATATTTTCTGTATTTAGATATTTTCTGTTTTAATATAAGCATGCAAGTCTTCCTAGTGCCTATATTTAAATGGCAAAGCCTCTTACTTTTGATCTGAAAACATAACCTCAAAGCATCTTTCACAGAACACAGCTGGAGCATATACATTACATTCTTTCCAACTGCAACAAGGATTTTAATCAATCTTGTCTCGCCAGTTTATCACTGCTGATCGTTCAATTGTATACATTGGTACATGACATACTTACTTGATGATTTGCCAGTCTACTGTGTGAGTAAGAGGAGAACTCCGGCTGGGGGCGAAGGAACGACTGCGACAGTCAGGCTTGATACACTAGGTGATTTAAAGACGTGTATACACACACACAAACACACACATTTAAATAACTGTTAATCTGTAAGTTTAAGCAATGATGTCAAAGAT